ACATATATTAGGTACAGGATGGTTCCCTACTTCACTTATTACCTCTCCTCTTACTACGATTCATTGCCTCCTTCCTGACCGGTGATCCTGCACCTACTTTAGCACTCAATACATCAGCCATCTTTTCCCTAGATGGCATAGGTGTCGCTTGTGAGGAAGTGTCAAAAGATTTCTGCCAATACAGGAAAATGCAGCCTACCCAGCCCATCGTGTTTAATTGTCCTCATCTTGTCATAGCACTCTAATAATTTCGTCACGTAGGATGCTTGGAAACAAAATTTGTGTTCTGTATGATTTACGAGCGTACATGTAGTGTCTCTCTAATATCTTACAAGGAATACTTGTGAGCGATAGCGGTCTGTAGTTCAGTGGTGTGTGTGTGTGTGTGTGTGTGTGTGTGTGTGTGTGTGTGTGTGTGTGTGTGTGTGTGTGTGTGTGTGTGTGTGTGTGTGCGCGTGTTAGTTTTAAAGGTCATATGGGTAAACTTGGGAGATAAAACTGGCAAATTATACACGCAAACCTTTTTAAAGCAGTATTTAATATATTTTAGATACATCAGTGCTTACGCCACAACTTAAAACTTAAAGTTTAGGCCTACTTTAAACTTTAGGCTTATCTTAAACTATAGTCGACCTGCCTTAAGCTATGGACCTACCATAAGCTATGAACCTAGCATAAGCTATGGACCTGCCATAAGCTATGGACCTACCTTAAGCTATGGACCTACCTTAAGCTATGGACCTGCCATAAGCTATGGACCTACCTTAAGCTATGGACCTGCCATAAGCTATGGACCTACCTTAAGCTATGGACCTGCCTTAAGCTATGGACCTGCCTTAAGCTATGGACCTGCCATAAGCTAGGGACCTACCATAAGCTATGGACCTGCCATAAGCTATGGACCTATCATAAGCTATGGATCTACCATAAGCTATGGACCTACCATAAGCTATGGCCCTACCATAAGCTATGGACCTACCATAAGCTATGGACCTACCTTAATTAACCACATTACATCAACTACTCTATAAGAACATACACTATCCTACATATATTATTTGCAGGACCTAAATATGTTATAAGCTGTAATAATAATAGGACAATATTTCCCCCTTTAGATTTGTTATGACATTAAGAAAGTCCCCATATATGCAGGAGCTGCCTCGTATGGGCCAATAGGCCTTCTGCAGTTACCTTTGTTCTTACACACACAGATCACACTAACGTGATGCATCAAATGAACAAAATGTGTCGATTAAGGCAGTGTCTGGGATGCTCCCGGACGCAGGTTCGAATCCTCGTCACGGCCCTTGTGGATTTGTACCTTTGTTCTTATGTAGTTCATATCTTTCTCACCTCGCATCTCTGTGTTCTCACTGCGTTAGTGAAGCACAGCATCTCCACAGCATCTCGCTCAAGACAGTTAAAGGCATCTTTCTTATCTTTTTTTTTATGATAGTAAGTGCAGTTTACATGAAGGAAAGGTTTCCTAACCATGACAATTGTTTTAGGCATGAAAAGTTTTATTTAGCAATAAAGTGCTTTACTAATGCAGGCGATGAGTCACAATAACGTGGCTAAAGTATGATGACCAGACCACACACTAGAAGGTGAAGGGACGACGACGTTTCGGTCCGTCCTGGACCATTCTCAAGTCGATTGTGAGAATGGTCCAGGACGGACGGACAAGTCGTCGTCCCTTCACCTTCTAGTGTGTGGTCTGGTCATCGTGCCTTACTAAATTATTTGAAAGTAAAATAAATGGTAAACGGTAGCCGCATATATGCGAGACATTAAGCCAGCCATTTACCCACTAAAGGCAGTCATTGTGAGCAGCATTAAAGCTGATTCACGCAACGGTATTGACACGCTTCTCAAGCTTCTCTATCATATATGGCTATCACAGCTTTGGCATTGAAAGCATTTTAATAATCTTGCTATTAAAGCCGCCCGAATATTGTAAACAACCTCAACAGGTCAAACTGATCATCAAAATCACTTTCCAAGTTATAACCATATACTTCCTGAACGTGTGAGTGAATTGCTCTGATAAGCTTCACATAAACACGTGAAGATCGCCCTTGCAAACAAATACAAGACAAGGAAATTGTTTATAACAAATTAAGTGTGGAAATGTTGATGTCTTTGCGCGTGTGTGAGTGACATATATACATCCAAGACAACGTCAGGTCTCCTCCCTGATATTATGTGTAATCTTAAATGTCTAGAACATTTCCAGTCTTCACAGCACCTCATTAAAATTCTCAGCAGAGGACTTTTCAATTACAACCCTTAAACCTCTTGACAAATGACTCTGTCTTTTAACACTTGCCTGGCTTGCTCTGCATCTCAACTCTCTCGTCTTTGCTTTGTGAGTCAAATTAATCATTAGGTTCATTAGGCTGTTAATGTTAGCACTCGCGCACATTATCTACCAGGCTCAATAAACAACAAATGATATGGTTGGATCTCCGTATGGATATTCAAGTTAGTTTTGCTCGAGGAAGAACTAAGTAATTTGCTCCCGTGGTGCATTACTCCCTTATACAGTCGCGAGTAACTTCTTTATTATTGAAGCATATGGTTCAGAGCACGATAATAACTTCAAATATAAATACTATTCAAGATTATCCTGGCTTTAAACTGCTAAACAGCTACCAATAACAACCCACCATGCAATACTGTCTTTTGTTTCTAGTTATTCTTAAATTTAATCATTATTAATCCCAGCATCGTTGAAATTAATAATTTTCTCTATCAGTCCAATATTTCGTGTTGAAACAACTTACTCGCTTGTTTAGATTGTCTTATAATATGGGGGGGGGAGGGAGACGTGACAATATGGGTGCTAGTGATGACCCATAATAATGACCAACAGGTCAAGGAGGGTCAATAACAGCTGGATAAAGGTGGTAGGCGGGACACTAACCAGGAAGATGCCAGGGCCAACACCTGCGGCTTTCATGTGTTGTGGCATTAGTTGACAGTTGTTAGCGCAGTAATGGTGTGTGGTGGTAGCCTAGGGTAAGTGTGGTGGTAGCCTGGGGTAAGTGTGGTGGTAGTCTGGGGTAAGTGTGGTGGTGGGAGCCTGGGGTAAGTGTGGTGGTAGCCTGGGGTAAGTGTGGTGGTGGTAGGCTGGGGTAAGTGTGGTGGTGGGAGCCTGGGGTAAGTGTGGTGGTGGGAGCCTGGGGTAAGTGTGGTGGTGGGAGCCTGGGGTAAGTGTGGTGGTGGGAGCCTGGGGTAAGTGTGGTGGTGGGAGCCTGGGGTAAGTGTGGTGGTGGGAGCCTGGGGTAAGTGTGGTGGTGGGAGCCTGGGGTAAGTGTGGTGGTGGTAGCCTGGGGTAAGTGTGGTGGTAGCCTGGGGTAAGTTTGGTGGTGGGAGCCTGGGGTAAGTTTGGTGGTAGCCTGGGGTAAGTGTGGTGGTGGGAGCCTGGGGTAAGTGTGGTGGTAGCCTGGGGTAAGTGTGGTGGTGGTAGCGTGGGGTAAGTGTGGTGGTAGCGTGGGGTAAGTGTGGTGGGAGCCTGGGGTAAGTGTGGTGGGTGCCTGGGGTAAGTGTGGTGGGAGCCTGGGGTAAGTGTGGTGGGTGCCTGGGGTAAGTGTGGTGGGAGCCTGGGGTAAGTGTGGTGGTAGTCTGGGGTAAGTGTGGTGGGTGCCTGGGGTAAGTGTGGTGGGTGCCTGGGGTAAGTGGTGGGAGCCTGGGGTAAGTGTGGTGGGAGCCTGGGGTAAGTGTGGTGGGTGCCTGGGGTAAGTGTGGTGGGAGCCTGGGGTAAGTGTGGTGGGAGCCTGGGGTAAGTGTGGTGGGAGCCTGGGGTAAGTGTGGTGGTGGGAGCCTGGGGTAAGTGTGGTGGTGGGAGCCTGGGGTAAGTGTGGTGGTGGTAGCCTGGGGTAAGTGTGGTGGTGGGAGCCTGGGGTAAGTGTGGTGGTGGTAGCCTGGGGTAAGTGTGGTGGTGGGTGCCTGGGGTAAGCGTGGTGGTGGGTGCCTGGGGTAAGTGTGGTGGTGGGTGCCTGGGGTAAGTGTGGTGGTGGGTGCCTGGGGTAAGTGTGGTGGTGGGAGCCTGGGGTAAGTGTGGTGGTGGGAGCCTGGGGTAAGTGTGGCGGTGGGAGCCTGGGGTAAGTGTGGTGGTGGAGCCTGGGATAAGTGTGGTGGGTGCCTGGGGTAAGTGTGGTGGTGGGAGCCTGGGGTAAGTGTGGTGGTGGGAGCCTGGGGTAAGTGTGGTGGTGGGAGCCTGGGGTAAGTGTGGTGGTGGGAGCCTGGGGTAAGTGTGGTGGTGGGAGCCTGGGGTAAGTGTGGTGGGAGCCTGGGGTAAGTGTGGTGGTGGGAGCCTGGGGTAAGTGTGGTGGAGGCAGCGTCGCCAGTGAGGACAAGAGCGGTACGAGGCTATAAGAGTATTCCATTGATGAGTGTGACTACGGTGTCGCGTAGTGCTGCTGCTGCTGCTGCTGCTGCTGCTGCTGCTGCTGCTGCTGCTGCTGCTGCTGCTCCTCCTGCTCTCGCCACTACCCCACTAATGCAAGCATTTATTTCCTACTATCTCATCCACCACCTTAATATCGACCACTTCCGCCTCATCTATTTTCTCAAACTCCACATTTCCCAACTTCATCATTGATGAATGTGTTGCCACAGCCTGCGTATGGCTGACCAAAACATCATGGGGTAAGAAATCACCAGAAATCATCATATATGACTCCTGATGAGCACTCAAAATATAGAGCAATCCAAAACGTATTCGACAAGAATATAATTGAAATATAATGAAACCAAAAATGCGAGTTATCTTCCGGAAATGACATGAAAAAAATAGAAAAATAACATTTTAACGTCTTAATCAGATGAGATGTTTTAATTTATTTATTAATTAATAACCCCAGAATAAAAAGGTTGATTTAGGAGTTAGTTAAGATGCATGCTGTAGGCCAGTGGTTAGTGACGTCACGTGCTGGGTTGTGTCTGTGTCTGGCCTCGTGTCTTAGCTTCCTCCTGCAGCTCCTTGAGCTTACCTTAAAGTCGTAGCAGGAGGCCATGGAGGCTGAGATGGTCCCTGAAGGCTGCTAGTGGAAGCGTTGGCACCGTAGTGTGTGTGTGTGAGAGAGACTCAGAGGTCGAATGTCCTGCCTCTTATCAACACTACAACTTAATCACTCTTATACTCTCCTAAGGCACGTCAATTCCACGACACTAGCACACCTGCACATCCCTAGGATGACTATCATGTATTCAACTCGGCAGGTGGGGTTTAAAAAAAGCACAAACAAGAAAGCCGTCCGGAGAGAGCTGACGCGATGCCGCCCCCACCACGTCCTCATGCGAACTGAGGTAATTTGCTGTAACCTCGCGCGGGTCGGATGGTGGTGGTGACTCGCGAGGGCGGGACACCGCGCATGCGCTCACCACCACACACACACACACGCATACACACACACACACACACACACACACGCACACACACACACACACACACACTAACACACGCACTCATACATACACACACTAACACACACACACACACTAACACACACACACACACACACTCTAACACACACACACACACACACACACACACACACACACACACACACTAACACACGCACTCATACATACACACACTAACACACACACACACACACACTGCTCGCAAATTTGAATCATTTAATGTATCAAGCCTCATTTCAATACAAATTTAAGCCTGGTTCTCGGTAATTTTGGATGGAGAGCTTGCCTAGCTGGTATCTGGCATGGCCCGCATTTTAAAAGGGCACCGCGCATGGCCCTGAGGGGCCATAGTATGTTAGGAATCCAATTTTCAGGCTCTTGGTGTTTGGAACGTCACTTGTGTACTGTAGCAACCTATGAGATTATAGGTGACTGCCGGTCACTTTGCCAGGACTCATCAGTGAATTACTAAAAGTCCTGTGAGCTACATGATGGATAAAGCCGATAAACAAGATGGAACGAGGGTTCTCAAAATGTCATGGGTATGATTCAGCATGGGTATGTCAACCCCGGGCGTTAACCATAGCTTTATTCATAAGCTAACACCGCGGAAATCCTAGGCTACACAACCATCATATAAAAATGCCTTTGAGGCGTATGCCTGAGGTGTCTGTGTTAGCGTTCAGCTCTTAACACACAGTTTATTTGTCAATGTTGGTGACATGGGCGGTGTGGCTTATTTGTTTACGGTACACAAGTTATGTAGTATTAATGTTCCATTCCAGTTCTTCATAATGTATATGTTTACAGAGGTTTGGTCTCCTTGGTGCAGCTGCTCACATTGTTACAAAGTAGTAACACAAAAATCATGTTAAATACACTTTGTTAAAACATTATTACGTTGAGCACAAGCTCTGCTGCACTACATTCCAACAGGCTACTGTCTACGTTGCATGAGTGTTGAGGAAACCAGATGATGATATTAGGAAGTGATGATGACAGCGTGACAGCAACTCAGTGTCACAATGCAATATCTGATAAATATCCAGAAGACAAAGCAGAGCTGTGATAGTGAGGCGAGACCAAATAACGTTAATTGCTCAATAAATCAACATTCATACATGCGCAACACCCCAACACCGGTCAATCCTAAGACACAAAAAACATGATAATTCATAACGATTACAAAATAATAAAATGCTGCGTTAATGAAACTTCTAAATTTGTTCAAGAGCATAATTAAGTTATATAAATGGTCTAGGACGGAGATAAGGAGGTATTGAATGAGAGAGAGGCGGGTGGAGGCGGGCAGGAGAGGCAGTAGGTCCCGCGTGGTCGCCGTTACTAACCTTCAGCAGCGACGCGCCAGCAGGAACGCTCGCCAGACCTGGTAGCCTCTCCACCAAGGCCGACCCCGTACTCACCACCTCCTCCCGCTCACAAACATTTACTTCTCATTTGCTAAGCTTTCGTCTCTACATTAAACACGAGGCTTTAATTACTTGCCTGGGTGTTACGGAAAGCGTGTATGCATGCGCAATGTTGTAGAGGGGAATGTGGAGCGTTTTTACGCTTAAAGCGGCCGAGTTGGCAACATCGAGTTACCACGAGACCGCACGTGCGTTGAGGTGTTGCCATACGCCCAGACTTTTATTTTTATAAAAAAGTACTTTAATCGTCCCATCAGTGCTGTTTTACCTTTTAATAATTGCATAAATTAGATAACGACAAATTTACAACATTGTATAATTCCTAATTACAACTAACACCACGAATAAAAGCCCAAATGAGCAAAGACAATATTTAACTCGATATATTTATATATTTATATATATATATATATATATATATATATATATATATATATATATATATATATATATATATATATATATATATATATATATCCTAGCCTTAACATATACGCATTTACAATGATAGTCTCCCAGATCAATCATTATCAAGTGTCCCCCTCCCCCCTGCCCCCCAACGGAGGGGGGAGGGGGGTGAGGGAGGCTGGAGTAGGTAGCATCCCCCCCACGAGATATTCTGCCCCGTATTATGATCTCTTGGTGACCGTTGGGAGCCTCTACACCTTTTTACACCCACCGGCCTCTGCCCCTCGGCCAGTGGTGGTGGTGGTCACTGGTCACCATAAGCCGCTCTGGCTACTATACCGCTCAGGTATTGCGCACACCAATTAGGTGAGCACAATTAGGTGAGTACACCATTAGGCTCTTGACCCCCCATACTTACACCCTCGCCTTGGTGTACCAAACCTGTTATCCTCACCTTGGTGTACCAAACTTGTTACCCCTGGTCTTGGTGTACCAAACCTGTCACCCTGTTCTTGGTGTACCAAACCTTAAGTAACTTTAACCATGGATAGAGAATAGATAACACTATATAGTCGTTCTCAATCCATTCCGGTGAGTGTATTTCCTCTCTGAGGACAGGCCTATGACAAGCCGTCATGGGGGGGATATTTTAACATCACATATTTCTTTACCATATTTTTTTTCAAGTACAATACATGTATTACAAAATGTACATTAGTTAATACAATTAGCGTTTAAAGGTTATGGATCTCTTGGAGCTCCTCCGCTTCCGGACAGGAACCGAGGACGCAGCAGGCGTTCCCCCTCTGGATCGCCACACTGAGGCGCTGAAACAAGAAACTGGCAGCCCTCGGGTCTCTGGTGATGTCAATGAACCTGGAACACAATTCCTTGACAATCCTAAGCCACTCCTACCCCAGGGGCCATGCGTCTCCTACCCCAGGGGCCATGCGTCTCCTACCCCAGGGGCCATGCGTCTCCTACCCCAGGGGCCATGCGTCTCAGACGCTATGGGAACACAGGTGCATTGATTTATTAGTATTCCAATATACATTGATTAGTATTCCTTTATAATGTTATAATTGTTACTACATATACAATTTTCATACAGTATTACCCTTTACTTTTGGAGAGAAAAGAGGGAATAAGCGTGTGAGTGTTGCAGTGTGGTGTGTATCTGTCGTAGGATTAATTACTACAATTTACCCATAATTATGCACTCCAGGTGCAAACTCTGTGAGCAGGAACTGCGGCATGATCTCCCACACTACATCACCGAATGCCCAGTTATTAGACCTTTCAGACCCGTTGGCATGAGGTACCTGGAGCTTTGCAATTACTTTATTCACTCTCGTGTTCTTGATGATATCCTCATATTGCACTCAAAATTTGCCAGTGCAGCAGATTGCTTATCACACGTGCCTCTGTATGACTAACCTTCTGATGGGGATTTTTAGCATCACGTAGCTAGTTTTTTTACACGCCGTACTCCCCTTTATATAGTCTAGGGTAACTGGACAAATACAGATCTACCTAAATGTGTTAATACAAAAAATATATACAATATGAATATTTTATTGCATTATATTTGTAATGCTTATTTCATACATTCATTTATGGTTATTATTTATCAACTTGTGAAGGTATTTAAAGCTTAGAGGTCAAAGGTCATGTGTCTGGAGCGATGTTTAAACATGGGTGGATGTGACCATAGAGTTGTTCATCGCGGGCTACAACCCGCGACTACAACCTGAGTCTACATCCCACCCCTATAACCCGCGGCTACAAACCGAGCCTATAACCCAAGCTTACAACCTCAACCAACAAGTTGATTCTACAGCCCAGGTCAACAGCCTGAGCAAATAGACCAACCCAACACACCAACAATATCATCTACGACGCTGTCTCCAGCACAGAACAGCACTAACAACAAGCTAAAACAGCACTAACAGCTTCAGAAGATGTGCACGAAGCCTTTGATAACCTCTGGCACCACGGCCTAGTGAGGGCGACTATTCAGGATGTGTCTACAAACTAGAACCATGGCACTTTGCTTCAATATAAAAAATGCTATAACCTTCACAGCATGTGCAGGAGTGCCTCAAGGCTGCTGCCTAGGCCCAGAACATTTTAATACCCTTGTGTATGACCTCCGCCAACCAGCACCCAGAGGTCACTATTATCAAGATCGCTGAGGACGATATACATGTGATAACACAGCACTTACAAGGTAGAGCTAACAGACACTAATGTCAGGTTATCTTGAGATGATTTCGGGGCTTTAGTGTCCCCGCGGCCCGGTCCGCGGGGACACTAAAAACCGGACACCGCGGGGTCCGGTTTTCTCAATAATAATAACGCTGACGATAGTAATAATAATGCCTTTGAAATCAGCCTTAATGTTATATTGCAAATGAAAGTTGCACTCAGTCGTCCATGTTAGGAAAATATATGTGTTATAGGAGGTGTTTCCTGTCTGTGGTGAAGAGCATGGAGAGGTTGTGGTCGGTGAGGACGTGAGGGAACAATGACATCACTACATAAAGATCATACACACACACGCATCACCCCCCCCCCCGTGTATGATCCAGCAGGTGCCAAGATAACCATGTCCTTAAAGCTATAAGGACTTGCTCCACCTCTCACACTATATTAACAATTCCTTGACAAATGAATCCTGTGATGTTAGGCTTGTAACAGAAAAATAAGAGACGTTTCATTGAAATTAGCTAATAACCGAATATTTTTTTTTAACAAGCAGCACTTGCAGGTAGGGTAGAAGTTTACCCACAAGTAGAGCATAGTGACCAGCTCATTGTTTCATAGTGACTCTACCTGCGAATCCAGTTCACAATACCACGACCAAATCCCGACACCTTTATTCCTGACTAGGCTCCCACAACCAGGTGGGCAGGGTCCACCATACGCTATTATTCCCCTTGTAACCATGCGTGGATGCGCTGCCCTCCTCCAGGCCCACACTCATAACATCCCTGAATAAAACATGCTGCTGTATTGACATTCTGAATGGACGAC